ACACTGATACCCATGTTAGGAGGTCTGAGCGGGATCGCCAACCACCGATGAGGCTCGACTACACTGAATTGGGGAAACCAATTGTCACCGTGGTAAAGTCCTTCTTCCAAGGGTTGACCGATGCGTGGAATGACATGGTAAATGAAGGTGAAGCACATGCTTCTACTCTTGCCTTTACCCCCAAGAGACATTTGTGTGAACCTTGTCATGCACAGGGACGTGCAAGAGTTCAGGAGGGGAGAGTGTAACCCACATCAGAATTGTGGTTTGTGCTGCGGCATAAGGTTGGAGGTGTAATTTCCCTCTCCGCCACTAGGAGGCGAGTATGCCTTGAGATGACTTCCTGTTAGTCAGCATTTCCTGTTGTGAAAGCCGTTACTCACGAGGCAACCGCCAGATTAACTGAAAGATCCTGGATCTGAATTCTGTGAAATACGGCCGTGGGAAGCTGCGTCAGCCAGGCGAGCTATCTCACCACGAGCTCCGATTGTTTTTTTGACCAGGACCGGATCATTTGAGATCTGAACCTTGTGGGTTCAGTGGCGAGCCAGTTCCAAGAGAGTGACTGTAGACGGACCAGAGTACGGTGTGGCCAGCCGTGGGATCCATCTTCAGCGAACCCCAGGACTATCATTACATCCCTTGACACAGATAAGACTGACACTTTTAAAAAATCTACCCGGGTAGTGTTAGATCCACTGGACAGAAACGCACACACACAAACTAATTTCTCTTTCCAAAGAGAAGTGGACTGAGCAACAGGAGTGGAAGCTCTTTAATTGAAACTCTTTGGAGAGAGAAATTAGTTTGTGTGTGTGCGTTTCTGTCCAGTGGATCTAACACTACCCGGGTAGATTTTTTAAAAGTGTCAGTCTTATCTGTGTCAAGGGATGTAATGATAGTCCTGGGGTTCGCTGAAGATGGATCCCACGGCTGGCCACACCGTACTCTGGTCCGTCTACAGTCACTCTCTTGGAACTGGCTCGCCACTGAACCCACAAGGTTCAGATCTCAAATGATCCGGTCCTGGTCAAAAAAACAATCGGAGCTCGTGGTGAGATAGCTCGCCTGGCTGACGCAGCTTCCCACGGCCGTATTTCACAGAATTCAGATCCAGGATCTTTCAGTTAATCTGGCGGTTGCCTCGTGAGTAACGGCTTTCACAACAGGAAATGCTGACTAACAGGAAGTCATCTCAAGGCATACTCGCCTCCTAGTGGCGGAGAGGGAAATTACACCTCCAACCTTATGCCGCAGCACAAACCACAATTCTGATGTGGGTTACACTAACATCACCATTAAGGGGCAAATCTACTAAAACAGAGGGGTGACAGACTCAAATATTCTGGAGCTTTTCTCTACCCATTCTGTTGGAGCCTGTAAGAAAATGGGGACTTGTTTTTTTTACTTCATAAAAACTGACAGCTTTGCATGCTGCTTGATCCAGGAATTTAAAGAAACCTTTTGAAAATCAGGCTAATTGCTTAAAACATCCACACAGGAGTCCATCTCTGCAGATAGTGGACCAAGTGCGTGAATGGCTAGAAATGGTAATTAGGCTGTCGTGTAACTTCTAAGTTAGGAGTTGTCAAAGAGCACAAAAGTATTAGAAAAAGTGAAAAGCTGAACAGGAATCAGCTAAAACAAAAGCAGGGCCAACAGAGCTTTGCTGCTTGACAAAGAGAAAAGCAGGGAAATGAAACAGAAACTATGTATAAATGTCTGAGTCGTAAGCCAGCTGAGAACCACTGAGGCAAAGAAAACGGTTTACAAATTCCACAATCACATTTACTAACACCATGTTCACATTCACAATCTACTGGTGATTTAGAGCGGTTAAAGACCATTAACACATTCAACTATAGATTCATCTGTGTTCAAAAGACAAGTGAAATCAAACAGATTTATTATTCTGTCAATATTTGTCTACCAACAACAAAAAGATAATGCCACAGATTTACCCTTGTGTTAGCATGTAGTTAAGCCATTTAATGACATTTGTATTAATAATGTGAAGTGAACAGATTTATGCTAAAGACCATGGTGTGTACAAAGTCTGTGGTTCAAAGAGGCGGAGGAACTAGAGGATGATGACAGAAGTTAAACTGGTCTGTGCCGGTGTCTGTACAGGATCTGCTCGGGTGCGAGATCGGCTCGTGGTCCGTCGACTGCCGATGACGTCTAAGTAGTTGATTGGCTGAACATGAATCTTACGGAATTACGTAATCACGTTACGTTGTTATCACGTTACATTGGTCCAGGCAAATCTTTCTGCTGGAAAGATGGACAACTTTTACAAAGAAATCCATCATTACCTCTTTGAAAATACACTTTTAGCATAGAGCCGCATGTATATTAGGGCTGAACGATTACCTGCATATGCAATTAAATTGCAATGTGACAAAAGGAGATTTTCTAATCGCAAAGGCTGCAATTTGGCAGCGAGTGGTTAGCGCAATGCTAATATACATGGAAAAACACATAGGAATGCTAATGCTAATATCGCCGATTACATTATTACAAATTAAGAATTAGAAACGTGCCAAATGATTACATTTGGAGTCTAATAGAAAGTAAAACTACCATCAATCAAATAAGTACAGACAGGTATTTTAGTAAAGCCAGAAAACTTTTAAGTCCAGAGTTTTGGCTAGCAGCTATGAGCGTAACTGAACTACGCATGGACAAGACGTCAAAAACTCTAAACACAAAATACTTCAAAACGGGACACACTTCTTTCCTGCAAATACAATTTCACAGGTGTTGCTAATACCTATGATCCTTCAAGGGATGTGCTCAAAGAGGAGTTCAACATGAATCAAATATAGTGTTTTATTTTACAAATACCATTATAAACACAAACTTACATCTTAAGAAACATTATTTTAATAACGAAACTGCTAAATTCTTTCCAACAGTATAGATGTGTAGTGTATTTTGTCCGAGTGGGTTTGCCGTACTTTGACGTCATCGGCAGTCGAAGGACCCCGAGCCGATCTTGCACCCGAGCAGATCTTGTACCGACACTGGAATGGGAGCCTGAGCCAAACTGGTGGACTAATGTATGCTCAGAACCAGTGTCTCACTGGTTCAGTCTAAATACCAGTTAGTAAATCCACAAAACTTCAGTGAGACATACTTTACTAAGTCAGAGCTCCTGCTAGTGTTTCAACAAGATTAACGCCACAATGAGCTGTAGAAACCCTGTTCCTCCTGACAAAATCCATCAGTCCTGTTAGATTAACAACAGTTCAGTTTTCCTCCACCAACTGGCAGACCAGTCAACAGTCCACCTGTAACAATTCTACCCTTCTATCCATTCTTCCTCCAGTACAACAAAAAAATAATAGGAAGCCATGATGATCAGTTTATGTTATCTGTTTATCTAAACCCTACTGGTGCCATCTTCAGGAGGTTAAAAATTCCTTTTCATTGTTACGCTGATGACACTTAGGTCTACATTCCTGTTAGTAGCTTAGGAATTAGACAGCTAAAAGGCTGTTTATTTGACCTGAGATCCTGGACGGCTGAAAATGTTCTGATCTGAACCAAAGTAAGACAGAGCTGTTAGTGACTGGTTCTTCAGCTAATGCGAAGATGAGCTATGAGCTCCTAGGTTGTCTTGCTGATTTAGTAAATCACACGTCCGGAATCTTGAGGTCATTTTTGATAGTGACCTTTCATTTGAGAGATAAATAAGTTATTTGGTTAAAAGCTGTTTTTTCCTACTTCAACTTTTGTCTTAACGTCAAACCTTTTTATCGCGGAGGGATCTTGAGATAGCGACTCATGCTTTTATTTTCTCGCATCTTGATTTTTGTAACTCTGTGTTTTGGTATCAACAAATATTTAATACGGAACCGGTGCAAGGAAATATGACCCAGTCTCTGACTTTAGCTTCTTTACACTGACTTTAGAATAGAGTTTAAAATTTTACTGTTGGTTTTTTACATTTTTGGACGGGAAGGCGCCTACCTATTTATCCGACCTGTGTGTTCCCTATTGCCCTTCCAGAGTGCTAAGGTCCTCTGGTCAATCAGCCTTGTTCGTTCCCAGCACTAGATGTAAAACTAGAGGAGACAGGGCTCCTGCTTGCTAAATCAACACAGCCTTCTGCAGTGGCAAGTCCATGAATGCCGATTTTCCCTGTGACGTAAAAGAGACTGCATTATTCTGACCCAACCAACTACTTCCTTGCAGGTGACGGAGGTTCAAGAAAATGTTCATGTTCAGCATGCATATGCAACAGACCGTATTTCAAGAATATGTAGTACACGGTTTCTCCATGAACGAGATATTTAAAAGGTGACAATAAGGACATCTTAGATATCCTAGTAGGTTTGAATGAAGGCAGCTGGACTTCCTGGGTTATCTGACAACGTTTCACTTAAAAAAAGACAAAGAAGTCCAGCTACGTTCATTCAAACCTGGATGACTGAGAACCTACACCAGGGCATTTTAGAACTATTGCTAACAAGGAGCATGGGCCTCACAAACAAACATATTAAAATGCGAGAGTGTGTGTGTGTGTGTTTGGTGAAAACTGAAGGGAAAAAAGGATGCAGCTCTAGATGCCCTTCATTCACACTACTCTCCCACAGTCTACGGACCAGAGCACTGCACACCCAAAGCTAACGGGGAGTGAAGAAAGTCCCAGTCGACATAGACTTTCCAACTGAACCCAGATCAGTTCATTAAAGTTTTATTACTGCAAAAAAATGTCCGTTTGAACCCAACCCCAAAAGCCAACATGAAGACACAAAAGCATGGAGCTCTAAAAGGTAAACAGGAGGTCACGTTTTCTTGTATTCAGGTCATAAAAGTTGCATCACAGAAGACTACAACATCGCACGGGACATGCAACAATCAGACTGAGAAATGGGTCCCTGTGCTCTGGCCCTGAATGCAAAAACAGAAGAATGGTACGCAGGAGTGAAGAAGGGGAGTTAGTTGAGAAGAAGGGCATGCTACTCAAGTGATACAACTGAAAGACCACAAACCTTTGTATCCAGAGATTTCTGCCTCTGTGAAGGAGAAATTTGGCCACATTGTAAATAAGTGAGACCCACTGGAGGGTCTCTCCAGTGTCCTTTCCAAGCACATTAAGCCTGGCACAACTAAAACCTCTAGCTCTAATCGCCATAGCTCCTAGGAAAGTTGTGATAATAGCTGTATGACTATTCAGGTTGTGTTAGCTGATATTTTATAATTCACATAATAAAAACAACTTTTAATTAGTATAAAACATTTTGCATATTTTTACTTTGTGAAGTCATTTTGTTATCAGATAGCAGCTTAAGTGATGTGAAGGCATCATGTGTTTATGCAGATTAAATGTCTGCGTATGTATGGGACGGTAAAGAGAGTTTCCATGTACTGACCTTCCTCTTGGTTGTCTTCTCTTTTAGGGATGCCAACAAAAACCATGACGTTGACGGCGTCAGACACATCCAAATGAAGGTTGGTGGTTCCGACCTTTCGGTCGTCTGCTGACGTCAAGCCTAAAGATTCAGACAGAAAGGGAAAGTGAAGAGAAATGTTTAGGTGTGCAGAAGGAGAGAAGCAGGACTCCAGCAGACTATCTCGTTTACCATAGGCGTTGTACATCTTTGGTCCAAGGTCAGGACGCACAAAGAAGTTGGGCAAGCGTGCAGCAAGGTTTAGACGGCCATCTCTCTTTGTGTACTCTGGCAGCGGGAGGTTTTCCATCAAATCATCAAACCTAGAAAGCAGCAACAGTTAAAGAACTACACACAGTGAAGAGGGAAAGCTTCCTTCTTAACATGAGCACACGTGTGTTTTGAGAGGATGTGGCATTGAGCACAAACCAATAAAACTAATTATGTTAGTCTGATTCTTAAACGCACAAACAGTGTTTACCTAGTGGGCATCATGTCCCTGAAGTCTTCGCCCGGAGGCCAGTCCTTTAACTTTAACACCATGGGCCTGCCATCGCTGTCCTGCAGTCGCTCTGCTTTCACAGAAACACATCAAACTACATCAGAGAACCACCGGTCTAGAACCTGTTTAAATGTAATTCAACCCAAAAAAACTTTGGTCAGAAGGGTAAATACTTTGTGTACTCACTAGAGATCATCTGAAAACCGTCCCAGAAGTCTCGCACCTTTACATCTGAAATAATAGCACAGTTTCTACAGTTGACCAGGTCCACATCCTGGTTACCAAACTCCTCACTGAAGGCCTCAGGCAGCCACAGCTCAGATTTCAGGCGTTTATGGATTCCTGACACCAACACAGGCTGGAAACAAGGAGACACGAGTGACAATCTGAGTATAAATAATGAGCAACAACCCTTTTATTCTTACTTGGCCTTGCTTCCAGCACTCTCTGAAGATCTTCCAGTTGTTGCCGTTGCTGGGATCCTGCAGGCAAAGGAGTCGCCCATCACAGAGCCAAGTGTGTGAGGTATGTGGTTCCAAAACACTGAGACCCATTACTCCTTCTTTACGGGCCCCCAACACGCCAAGTTCGCTGCCCTCAGAGGTCCCAGAGCGACGGCCCTCTGCTTTCTTGGTCTCCACGACTGAGGCAATGATGTGATCCAGGAAGTTTGGTAAGCTGCTCTTCAGCTTGTCACTCTACAGGACCGAAAACAGAGCTGAAGATCTCGCCAGTAGATGGCAGTAAAACATTTTAGATCCGGTTAGTGTTCTTACAGTAAACTATCATTTTAGATTCACGAGGACATCTGTTCAACACATGATCAAAGCTCACAGTTTAGATTCTAAATGGAGAAAATTAGCATTTATATTTATATTTTGGGTCTTTTCAAACAATAACTGTTTTTTCCTGCAAAGTGGGTTTGCTTAAAGGTTATTTAATTACTCTGGAGCTTTGAGAAAACAGATAGACTGACAGAAACGTACGCTTGCCGAGGTAAAAACGGAGGGGAACGGTACACCACTCTCTCCAGGGCCTTGAGGCAGCTTGCCCGGTCCAGAGTTGAGCAGGTCCCGGAGGCTTGACCCCTCAGGTTTGGACTGGATCATGCTGGAGCCGAGTAACAAGCTGTTAAATAACTTTGGGCTGGAAGCAGACGGCTTTGAAAGGGCACTGAGTGAGTCCAGGCCGAAGGGAGGCCGGCTTTCTCGGCTTATTATGGAGCGAAGAGAACCAGATTCTGGAACAAAGATCATGGGTTGACTACATATCTGAAACTGAACTTTATTTGTACTCAGTGATGATACCAACTCAATTTTAAAAACTTTCCACTTACCCTTGGTGTCATCCTTCGCTTTCTGGGTGGCCAAATCTGCCAGCCAGTGCAGCGCGGAACTGTTGCCTTCTCCTGAAGAGCGTGAGTCCTTGGCAGAAGACTGAGAGACGTGACAGGAGGAGGAGGAGGAGGAGGAGGGGAGGGAGGGGGTACTGGAGGTGCTACTAACAGAGCTACTGGTGGTGCCCGCAGTTTCACCACCCCCACTATCTGAGGGCACGGCTGCTTGTGAAGGCTCTGTTTTGATCACCGACGTTTCTCCCTCTGGTTTTGGAGTCGTGCTAGAGGCAGGTCCTGCAGCTGCAAGGCCACCTCCACTGCTAGACGTAGGCTGCTGACACACACACACACACACACACAAAAGGCAAAACACTCAAGTAAAGATGTAAACATGCAGCACAGAAAAAAACGGTGTGGCAGAGTAATACCTGTGAAAGGCCATTGGGGGCGGAAGGGCGCACCAGAGACTTGGAGTGTCGACTGGCACAGGGACAGTTGGCTTTTATACCCCACTTGCCTCTTGCGGCGTGCACCATGTCACCTATATTGTAAAGAGCTGGGGAAGAAAATGAACATTAAAAAACTATCATGGCGCCCGTATGACATCATACCCATGTCCCACAGCTTCCCTCATGTGGTGCGTTACCTGTTCCAGGTATAATTTGCGTTGGCATGAGGTTTTGTGGCTCGTGAGGCTGGCCTTTGGCACACTTTAACCAAGAGAAAACATCATCTTCTGGCGTGTCATCCAAATCTGAACCGAAACATCCACACAGTTACACGTTTGCACTTATCCGAGCTGAAGCCAACCCCAAAAGAGTCGACACAAAACCATCACTGTGATCAAAGCCTTGAGGTACCTTCTCTTGGCCTGTTCCTGCGGAGCCGATAGCAGTCCAGACACACCCCAAAGCCGCACTTGCGACAGACCCAGTGGATGTTGAACAAGGTCGTCTCACACACGTCACACATTTCTCGGACACCACGCACGGCACGTTTCCAGGCCACTTTTTCTGGAACCCATTTAGAAAATGAAGTCATCGATCACCGACGTGAATGCAGATAGATCTGAACACACGTGATGCTGTTATACTCACGGTGAGGCTCCACCATCATCATGGCCTCCTTCTCAGACATGACCAACTGACAGAACTGGTCTCCCACGTTGGCCAGAATGTACTTGGATGTATCGAGGTCCAGGCCTTCTTGAACTGCTGGTGCAGGCAACCAAAGACCCATAGCCATGGCGTCGCTCTGCTGAGGACTCAAGAAGCCCTCCACGCGGAGTATTCCTTTACGTGTGAAAGCCAACCTGGTCACGTAAAACATCAACGAATAAAGAGTGATTAGTTACTTTCAAGAGGCTGACGCACAAAGAGCAGAAACGTGATTAGTACCTTCTGAAGTGGAAGAAACGACAGGCCACATTTGGGTCATCGTCATCCTCACTGTCTTCATCAGTGGTTCGATATTTACGGTAACGCTCCAGTCGGCACTCGCGGCACTTGTGCAGGTGAGGAGCCACACTGATGCAGGAGCCGTCCTGAAGGAAGGACTCACCGGACTGCTTCAGACGGCGCACTTTGCTCTGATCTTTGAGTACAGACTGGCCCACTGAGAGAGAACGCCGAGTGTTACTTATCCTAATCCTGTTTGTCACCAGATTTTCCTTTGTGAGCTTTGTAAAAAGGACCTGGACTTACCTTTGAAAGGCTTGTTCCGTGGGCGGCTCTTGGCGGCCCCTTGGACTTTAGTTTTCTGTGAAATGGTTCCACCCAGGCCGGGGCGTTCTCCTGGGATCTGGCCTTTCTCGGGGCCCTCCTCGTTGTCGCTCAGGTCCGACAGGTCGCTGTTGCTGCTGGAGTCAGAGTCGTGTTTAGAAGACGAGCCTCTTTCCTCCAGGCTAAACTTCTGACCCTGGTCAAAGACCTCCTTCATTTCACCAGGAACGTTACTGCCAAGCACAAGGCAGCCTGAGGCAGAGGTGGGCATCTCATCCACTTCTTGCTCCTTCTTCATCATAGCTGTCTCACTTTGTATCGTCTGAGGTGGCGTAGGAGTGGAAGAACTGACAGAACCAGCTGCTGAGAGTGCTGGGAAAGTAGAGGACAGCATACCTTTAGGCAGCTCCGCCATGCTGAACAGGTTCGGTTTGCTGTCCAAGGCAGCACCCAGAGTTTGTGGCTCAGTCCCAGTGAGGCCAGTAAAAGAAGCTTGAGGGGTTTTATCCCCATATGCCAGAAACGGATTTGCAGACGCTTTGGAGGACTGCAGAAAAATGTTCTGGTGGTTGTCTGAAGACTTTGACTGCAGCCCTATCACACCTACAGAACTGTCATAATTAGTGTTCTTCTTAATGGCACTTTGGGCTCCGGAGACCACGCCGAGACAGTGTCCTCCTGCAGCGCCACCCTGGAAGGCAGATGATTTGTTGAACACACCGTTTCCTTCTGAAAGGGCCTCAGGCACTTTGGGCTGCTCAGGCTTTTTTAGCCCTTCAGTGGAGGCTGCAGGCATGAAAAGGCCCAGAGGCTCTTTTCCCAGACTCCCAGACACTCCAGTGAAGAAATTTGGGTTCTTGGAGGAGGGCTGACCCGGTGGAAGGGCTGGGCTGGTGCCAGAATTCTGATTCATGCACTGAAAAAACAGGTTTTGGTCTTGCTGAGGCTGAGTCTCACGCTTGGATCCACTAAAGCCAAAGCCAAAAGGCCTTGGAGCACTCAGGGAAGCTGCTGCAGTAGTGGCGGGGTCCCCGTTGGTCTGAGTGGTAACGTCTCCAAATACAGGAGCAGCGGGCACCGATTGGGCCAGGGGAAAACCCGGTACTGTTTTTGAGCCCTGAAAAAGAAAACAAAGGAAGAAAGTTTAATGATATTGTAACTAATTTGAACAATATCCATCACCACGGCAACAACCAGATCACCTCACCTCAGTCTGGCTTCCCCAGGAAGGAGCTTTAGGACCGAAACCCACAGACGCAGACAGAGCCACGCTGGGGCTGCTGTCCTGGGACCAGGAAATAGTGACTGGCCCCGGGGACACGAGAGCAGCGGTTTTAGAGAACGTTGACTGGCAGGGCTCCTCTCGGTCAGGCTGAGGAGATGGGGCGGGCTTCGGGGCTGGAGCTCCGGGGACCAGATTCGGCATATGCCCTAGAGAGGGAAAAGAGGCCGTGGAGAAGGGGGAGGGCGCCGGTTTGAGGGGGGGAGGATTGGGGGTGAGAGTGCTGGTGGAGTCTGCTGCTCCCTGTGTAGTGAGGAGGCGACCGTTCTCCTTGATGCGAGTGGGATAACGAGGAGACGAGGCACTCGACGTGTCCATCTGGGACGTGGGACTGGCGTTCACCTGGGGGGGGATTCCCTCTGTGGAGCTTCCGTTTCTGGTTGTGCTGCTGACTCGTTCTCCAGAGTCTCCAGCTTTACAGGAGTCCCCAGATATTTGTGCACTTGTGTCACAATCTGTAGCTCCTTTAAACCGTTTCAAGTTCAAGTCCTCCTCATCCTCAGAGGGAGTCCTACGTCTGCGTCCACCATCCCCCTTCACCAAGTCACTGTCCTTACCTCGTCGTCCGTTCTTACCAACCTTACAGGCAAAAACAGCATTCAAGTATTAGATTACACTTTTAACACCCCCAACTACCACGTAAGTTCCTTTAAACATTTTTACAATCCTGGAACAGTTTACAGGATTTTATTACATAGAATAATGTTCTAGAGAGTAAAAAGCAGAGGAAGTACGTTGTTCTGGAGTCTGGCAGCACAGAGGAAAAGCTTGTTAACATTAGAAAGCATTAATCGGCTGTGTGTTACCTCTTCGTCTGTTAGCATGACGTGTATGACACGAGGGTCTACCCTCTGATTCTCTTGTCCCTGCAGAAAATTCAAATACAGTTTAATAAAATAAAACTTAATTCACTTAGACATTAACCAGAGAAAAGTTTCCTTCGTTCGGTTAAAGTAAAAGCCCTTTCTACTCTTATGTTTTCGTACAAATGTACAACGCGTGTAGAGTAGAGGGGGAGAGCATTTCTGTCCACACGTTTTATAATTCAGGCTATAAATAATCTTTCAGGAACATAAACCGCCGATTGTAAATCTGAGAAGGATCAATAAAGTTATAATGAAACAAATCAAAGTGCTGAAACGACGCAAATCTATCATGAAGAAAACAGTTATCAGTTATTTTGTTTGAAGACATTTTAGCTGGTTTTTTTCTTCATCTTTTATGTCTGTAAATGTATTTTTTTTTCCAGGGTAAAAAAATAAGTTACCAGATGAACCATCTGGCCTCAAATCAGCATCACGATAAAGCAGAGATGGGGAATTCTGGCATCAACAAGTCATCATCACGCCGTGTTTTTCTTCAGTTCATCAACTAAACCAGGGGATTTCAATCAGCACACTGAATGAACCTGACTGTTGCTGAGCAGAACAAAAGCACGGCAAGGAGATGACTTGTTGATGCCAGAATTCCCATCTCTGCGATATGGTACGCAGTTCACCTCGATAACGACAACGGATAACAACCTGCACAGTGACTAGTCCTGATCGATCACATTTATAGAAAACCATAAATGTTACCTTGTCCAAAGTAATGTCCATGATGTGAGAGATTGGATCGTGATGCGAGACCAGTCCAGAGGCCCAGCACTCCTCAAACTCTGGCTGGTACACACGAACCAGACGTCCTTGAAGGGTGTAGGAACCTGGTGACATAAACAAGAGGAGATCGTTCAAATCCAGTCCACCGGTTTGAAGTTCACTGCTTCAAGAAGCTACAGGGACTGAAATGTGCTCCACCAAATAGGGTTACGGGTTAATATAAGTAAAAGCCCTCCTCAGCCCCGATCACAAAATACACCTAAAGAATAACAGCTTTAGATGAGATCATAGTCGTCCTTTTATTTAGTAGTTCTAATAAATTCTACATTTTAAAGGGAGACCTGGCAGTTTTGGCTTGCTTTTAGCACCCAACGCAATTGACGATTAAAGTCATCAATTGCGTTTTTTAATGGGTCGAGCTTGGGAACGAGCTCGTGTACCTCGAGAGTAAACATCACTCTTCTAAAGTGGATTTTCACCCGTGTGTGTCACACGTCACGTGATCATGTAGGGCTGAATGATTAATTGCATATGCAATTAAATTGTAATGTGACAAAAGGACATTTTCTAATCGCAAAGGCTGCGATTTGACTGGCAGTGAGTGGTTAGCACAATGCTAAAATACACTGAAAAACCCATAGGGATGCTAATGCTAATATCGCCGATTACATTCTTACAAATTACGAATTAGGAACGTGCCAAATTATTACATTTGGAGTCTAATAAAAGTAAAGACTGCCATCAATCAAATGAGCACAGACAGGTATTTTAGTAAAGCTAGAAAACTGTAAGATACTTTAACTCCACTGAGTTTTGGCTAGCAGCTATGAACGTAACTGAACTACGGAAGCTGTGCATGGACAAGACGCCAAAACTCTAAACACAAAAGACTTCAATAAACGGGACACACTTCTTTCCTGCTGAGACATTTTCACAGTTGATGCTAATACCTATGCTCCTTCAAGGGATGTGCTCCTGGCTGCAAAGCATTGCACCTTCAAATACAAAATTTTTTATTTACTTGTGAGTGTTTGTTTATGTAGACAAATAAACTTGATATATGTAGATACATAAACTTGTTGATATTCAGTACAAGTTAGATGGATTTGTTTTGCTTCTGTTAGTTGAAAAATATGAGAAAAGCCCCTTGAGAAAATAATTGTGAATTAAATCGCAATTGTAATATTGAAGAAAAAAAATTGCAATTAGATTACTTTCCAGAATCATTCAGCCCTAAAGCAGACAATCCATGAATTAGGAGATCGGTTTGGGGCGCCGCTATGCCTAAAGCGAGGAGCAAACCGGGAAAGCTTCTGCAGCTCACACTTCGACAACGGATTGTGAAAGAAGTACAGAAAAAGCTAGAAACACGCCGATTCTTCCTGATGCTAGAAGTGAGTCTACTCTTTTTTGGTAGTTTTGGTGTTTAAATGGTCATAGAGCACAATGTTCTGTGACTCTCCAAAACCACTGGCAGTGAATGAGTTAAAACCTGACTTCAGCAGGTCTGACAGCTTGTGTTCCCATACCAAAAATAAAAACACATTTCAAGTTTAATTATGTGGAAAGCTTCATTCAAACCGAACACTCGTGAGACTACAGGAGGAGGGCCGGAGTCTTACCCTTCCTGAAAATCTCCTGCAGCTCAAAGTCAGCGCGCCAGCTGGAGATGGCAGCCTGCAGCGAGGGCTGCTCCAGCAACAAGGGGTGTCTCATGTCTTTATCAACCTGCAAAAAGACAAAACACAGTCCTGAAACACTGATGGACAGTAGTAGGGGGACGGGGACATCAGGGGCGTGAAGCAAACAAATACTGCTGGCTTCAGTAACAATCACGCAATTGAGATATAAACCCTATAGGCGTTAAAAATGATGAACAGGACATCAAAATAACATTTCTTCTGAAAAAACTTATGTTTTTTACTATTTATACAACCATCAATTTCTTCTACTTTAAATAGTAAAACACAAGAGCGCGTCGTACCTCAAATCTCTGGATGTTTTTATTATCAGGCAAAAAATCTAAATTCTTGTTTCCAAAGTACTCCACGGGCACCAGCGCTCCTAACCCCACTCTGTCCACCAGCGAGCGGAAAATCTGCAGGGAAACAGAACAGCAAGTTATTATTTAAAAACTGCATCCAAGTAAACGACAAAGGAGCTACAAAATAAATAAAAAAATGCTGCTCACTGAACCTTAGCACCCTGGTTGTTCACTAAAACTTGTACAAGAACTCAGAGAAGCTAAATAAAGAGAGCTTGGTCCAAGTAGAGAGCTAAATTTATGAATGACTGTTTTTCTATTTATATGAAATGATTTGTGTAGAAAAACTACAAAAGTCAGTAAATAATGACTGTTTCCAAACCCGTTTTGTTTCTATCATGAGCCAGTGACACATACCAGAGCAGGCCAGGCTGATGCTGACATCGGCGCTCCGGGTGTCCTGGTACCGTCGCTGCGGGTCACCCAAACGATGGAGTCTTCAAACATCACGGCCTTCACGCCCCCATCATACACCTGCACCCATGAACATCTCTGCGATGCGTTTTCAAACTCCACAAACACCTACAGGTGAGCAGAAATAAACAAAAGAAGAATAAAAACACTTCTCAGAAAGTCTGGACTGAATATAGCCGAGTGGATTATTTATTCAGTGTAGCACCGTCTGATTATGTTTCTAGAATTAGTTTCTTCTCTTGGTAGCTGCTCTTAAACATGTATAATGTAAAACACACCCTTCTGCATTCATGATAATGGGAGTAATGACCAGCTGCATAAATTAGCTTCTTCCTCTAAGGAGCTAACGGGCCAAACCAACACCAACTAAAGCACAGGTTACCTCTAAGGCTGAATAAACAACACAAACCGCACCAATGCGGTTCAGTCACCTACTTGTGAAAATGTAAACTAACCTGCTTAAATCCTATTTAAAGAAAGCTAAAAACCAAGATGGTTTTGAACAAAAGTCAATAGTTGAAAACTTCACGGTGTAACATGATCCAACCAGTCTCACTAGAGCAGAACTCTGATTCAGTCTGGCGACGGTGGCCCACACCATAACCGAAGGGTTGCATCTCACCAAGTCAGTTGTAGTTGCTATGCCCATGGGCAAGACACTTCTTCTGGTGGTGACTGTGTAGAGCAGCCTCGCCTCTCTCAGTGTGCCCTAGAGTAGCTGTAGCTGCAGTTTAGCTCAGCACCACCAGGGTGTGGATGTGTGCATGCATGGGTGAATGACTGGTGTGTTGTAAATAGGCCTGGGCGATATGACGATTTTAGACCGTTTTACGATCCACACATCTGACGGTCTGTCATTTTTGAGAGACCGTTTTATCACCATTCACAGCTCTGCTGTTGAATTTCTGCCTCAGAATGAAAATGGAACTTACCTCAGGCGAATGACACGCCTTTGTTTGACCCTTAACCAATCAGAGTGAGTCATAGTAATAAAATGTGGTTTATTTTATTTGACCACAACATCATCATGTTCTGATGAACCACTGATGTCATTAACTGATGCCGTCCTTCACCAAAAACAACTAAACACGTCCTCATCGCGTCTGGATTCTCCTACTGGAGCTAAACTCCATCAGAAAGTTGGACCATGTAACGTTTGCATTTCACATCCAAGAAAACAAAAGTCTGAACCCGGCATTAAGCTAAAGACATTGACACGGTCAGTTATTTGGTCCTTTGATTAGCTTTGCAAACAGAAACGCTACACATCTGCTGCAAAGGCTAAAATTAGGGATGGACAATATTAGAGGTGTGAATCTTCACTTGTCTCCCGATTCGATTACGATTATTGGGTCAACGATTCAATTTGATTCGATATCCCGATGCATCACGATTATTTCATATTGATTTGTTTTCATCGATAAATAGAAGATGTCAAATAATTGCTTTTTTTTTTAATCTAAAACGTGATTGACACAACCTGCCATCCCTCAAAAGCTCTCCATTCACATCAGGTTAGGACAAAACATTTTAAACATTTAAGAAGATTTAACAAAGTAAAACAATCTGTTTCCTCGTTCAACACCACGCCTCAGGCTGAGAAAAACGCGCTTTGCAAAAACTCACAAAATCTAAAAAAGTACTGAAAACCTACAGGACACATAATGTAATAATAAAATACATAATGGGTTCATATATGAGTGTTTAATGTCTCTGAGAAGCTTTAGAGTCCAATATTTATGTCACAGTTGAAGGGTGTCAGAAATAACACCAAATGAAATGTTTGACTTTGTTATTTTATGTGAACCCAGTGGTTCGTTTCTGAAATGTTGGAGAATGAATCAAGTTCTGTTTGATGCAGAAAATAAAACTAAACAAATTCTACACTTCCAATAATATTTAAGATGTGTGTTTTATTCTTCCTGATAATAACACCAGCAGAAGGCTGTGGGCTGGATTAGGATTAAATTACCCAGCTGATGGATCTCTTTCACTAACCAGCTAACTACAAACCTTTCCACTAACCTGTCCTGTGGGACCCTCACAACCCTCGTGTCCATGCTGTCTCTGGAGGAGCAGATAGGAAACAAGATCTCCTGTAACTTAAATTGACCAAAGCTTCCTCCCAGTTTCTCTTTAAACTGAATTTAACATCAGTTTATCAAAGTAATTTATTGTCATTTCTACCACATGTGCAAGACATACAGAGAAACGAAACAAAAGAATAAGTGGAACAAGAACTTCTATTTCTCTCTCCTTTTAACTTCTCCGTGTCCCTAAATAAAAGAGACAGACGATCACGCTGCAGCCGCCGTCATTGACCCCGCCCCCTCCCCACGACCGGATCTCCCTACATTACAACAAGCAGTCTGACTGAGCGCTTCCAGGAGAAATAATAATTAAATTATGAAAATAATAACGCGTGTTTGGATCATCGGTTTGGAGGAGCGTCCTCCGATCGTCTCTCTTGTGTGAGCAGACAGTGTCTCTCTCTTTCTCTCTCGGTCGCTGAACGAGCGAGCGGAGCGCGCCGCACGACAACCGCTCAATTAACATAATTCACGGCCCAAATCCAACAGAACCGGTCGGGCTGATTCGGTTCCGGTCTGGTCTCGGGTGACAACTCTAGCGCTCAGCCCTGCAGTACCACATTAAGGCGGAGGTAAATGTGGAGGACGCTCACTCTGACAGATTTGGACACTGCGCTGGTGCCGCCGTTAAAAAAACAAAACTACATTCCACTATAATCGATTATGGCGTACTCTTCTACGATGCAGAATCGTTTATGTCCGCATCCCGATGCATCGATCATTTGATTATTTTCCTCAGCTCTAGACAATATATCAGCATCAATATAGGTATCGATCGATGTTAGTAATTTTTTAACATAATGGTATTGGGTCGATAAATAAAACTGGGCCAATATTAACAACCGACATTTTTTCCATCTCGTCTCCATTTGTTTGCCTGTTTCAGAGAGTGAGGGGGGTGATGTGTAATTGTTTAGTCATGTGAACAGTGAATGAAATCATCTCATAACCGCGAATGTGTGTGTTGTGTGTACATAACGACGTAAACTCAAGGGTTTCCCTTACATAGGCGCAGCCGTGGCGAAATCCCACCGCCACGCCTACAAGACAGCAACGCTTCAAATCTCATGACACATCTGCGTGACCATCACCCACAACTCTACAGTCAACGCAAGGCAAGCTAACGTTAGCGTTTTAGCTAAAATACGTGATCTGAGGATTTGGGTTGAGGGAGAATGCAACGAGTCGCTATATAAAGCAGCTGCAGCGCCGCTACCTGCATATAAACCGTGTCGTGGACACCGCCATATTGAAATGATGCTATGCATTACGGGGCTCCCAGGGGCAGATAAGAGTTGGTCTCTCTCCGAGAATAATTATGAATTTAACAATGATTACTGCCTGATGACATTTTCCCACATCTGCAAAGCTCACTGGAAGGACACAAACAGAGGACAATATTTTCCTGATATAGGGTTTATTACTCAAGTAAGGGTAAAAAAAGTATCTGATTAGAAGGCTACTTGAGTACTGAGTATCATCTGATCTAATATTTTTAAAATGATGACATCAAACAGACATAAAATCAGAAGTTATGGGCAAATATTGGTATTTTAAAGACTAAAAGGGAAAAATGTAAACAAATAAAAAACATAATTACAAAATAACACATTTTAGGCTAAATTTAGACACAAACTGAGGACAATATTTTCCTGATATACAGGGTTTATTTAGTTGTCTGAAAATGTAGCACGTTTAAAAAAAAATACCGCGATAATACCGAAAACCGTGATAATTTTGGTCACAATAACCGTGAGGTTAAATTTTCACACCGTGACAACCCTACACCTGTCCCATATTTCTGTTTCAGGTTACACAAGTTTGTTTGTGTTTGTGTGTATGCATGGTTGTATTTCCTGTCTATACATGACGTGCAGACTTGGAGTGACTTGGGATGGTCAAGCTGTGGGTTCCTGGAGTCCTGTAATGGCTAAGACTTAACAGTAAAAAAGGTATTCCACAAGCTGTTGTTTATCCAAATTCCATTTTTGTTTTTATCTACTGATCTATAATTCCTTATCGGTACATTCACATATAGGTTTGATTACTAACAACACTGATTTACATTTTTTGTGTTTCTTCTTTTGATTACTAGTAATTACATTATTTCTGTTAGAAAGATATTCACTGATATACATTTCTGCATTATATTAATTGCAGCTGATTTCTTTCATCATTTATGTCATAATCAATTTATTTAGATTTTTGCCAGTTATGGGCTACAAATTATTTTTGCCTTCTGTTTTGATAAGATTTTGCTCAAAGAGTTGATTTTCCCTCATATATTTAATAGGTTTATATTCATTTTGTTCTTTTTGCAAGACTTTTTCCAGTACACGTAGGTTACTGCATTCATTTCCTACACCTGAACTCCGTTCACATAATTTGCTACACATAGCACATATAGGCACATATAGTGCTAGGTTTATTTTTGTTTGTTGTTTTGCATCAGACGTCTATCCGTGTGTGTCTACTTTGAAGTGCCCTGTGTCTGCTCTCCTCCTCCTCTAAGTTTCGCCATTGGTCTTCGCTTCCTGGGAGGACCTCTCTACACCATCGCCTGATTCGGCTGCCTGATGTGTAATTGTTTAATCCTGTGAACAGTGAATGAAATCATTTCATAACCGTGAATGTGTGTGTTGTGTGTACATAATGACGTAAATTCAGCTTTAATAATTTTCATTCTATAAAAAATCTGCTGATTTTAGAAGCAATTATGTCAGTATATCAGTATCGGCTATCAGATATCGTATCAGGCCAAAAATTTTATAACGGTGTATCATTAGCTAAAATATCTAATATTTTAACGTTTGAACGCAGCTTTTAGAGTTCAACACTATAAAATCTGTTTGGATGAGCAGAATAGTGGCTTTCTCCATAAAGTTCCATTGATTTTCCTGAAAAGTCCGTGTGTCTGTGTTGTCTTTGATGCTCAGCGAGCCTCCATCTCCAACCAGCATGTGTTCAAACTGTACCTGCAGGGAATTTTTGCTTTGGATTTTCCACTAATGTGGTTTGAGACTTACAAGCCTATAAATGAAAGCTGATTCCCCTACAGATGGAAGGGCCATTGATGACTGCCCCTGACCGTTCGTTCACCAGTAACAGAAGTGTATTTTTAACGCCACAGACAAAAATATCTGATGTGTTTTATGTTTCATTGAAAAGAGGCTTATTCTGTCACTTTGTCAGGTTTCCATGTGGTCTAAATCTACTCAGACTTTTGGGTTGCTTGGTTTTGTTTTAATATTAAAGTAAAAACACAACTTTGACATCAAGGGGGTCAGGCATTGGACCAAAACATAGTTGGAGAACTTGTTTAAAGTTCATCAGTGAAATCCTCCTTGGTGCAAGCAGTCTTGTTTTTAAAGGAGAATATTTTGTGACATCAATGTTTATGTTTCTCGCGTTGCATCATGATATTGTGTGGCAAGAAACAGTGTATTTTGTCTAAAATTCGATTGTTTTGTAAGTTTGGAGCAGGATTTAGCGTCACAGATATTCTTGCTGTGTGGTTGATGGTTCAGCCCATGGGAGGCTTGATAAAAGTTTTATTGGGATTTCCTCTATAAATGAGTAAAATATGAGAGATGATAGTGGACGACCCGGATTGTCCGAAGAAACCTTGGATTCTTGCTGCAACGGACAGTTTGTGATGCTCATGTTGTTCATTCAAGTATTTAATTGCTCAGCAGATTGCTCTCGTTTGCGGCAGGCTTTAAATAACTTCAGTGTTGTCTTCAGTACAGATTTGAAGCTTCTCTCTAAACTTTCTCCTGTCTGTAGGCGTTAAAGTGTTCATATGTCGGGGATTTGCCCGCTAACTCTCTTAAAAGTCTAAGTCGCGTACTTCTAGCAGGCTGTGTTTATTTTTAGCACACAGTCACTTGCGCGTACACAAAGATGACAAAATATCAACAAAGATCCTCCTTTTGCTGTAATAAAACACAAATACTTATTTTTCCTTTCTGAAACTTAGTTTAAATTCTGGTTTGGATTAAATTTGAACAAAAATGGGTCAGTGTGTGAGATTTTCCATTGATTTTGTTAGTGAAATTTGACCATAGAGTACTAATGCTAACTTGGTAGCAGCCACCTGCACAGCATTCACAAATGCCGTCATGCTCGGACGACCATTCTGCTAAATTCAAAACAAAACAAGTTTCTGCCGCCATAAAACTGGATCGCTACCATCTCAACAAACTAGAGTCAACCATCCAAGAAAAATAATTTTAAGAAAAGAAAAAACTTGTTTTTCTAGCAGCTGACAAAACTTTAGATCTCAGTCGTTTTTCTGACTTGAAATGCTTGAGATCAATCCATGCGTAAAAATAAAAAACACCAGAAAGTAAAAATTAGCCTAAGAAATCTTAAACAATCTTGTGTTGAACCGTGACATAGTACGTACGTACGTACATTAGTTTCAAAATCAGACGTGCCCGTGTCGTGTTACATTAAGCAGCTGCTTTTAAAAGTTAGAAAAATTATAGTCAGTGAAAGGAAAAAATCTCTAGTTATTTTGTACAGAAATATTTTAGACAAACCAATCTGACTTATTAGTTTGACCATTTAAAAGGTACCAGCTAAACAGGGGAGTGTAAGTTCCAGGGACCTCATTTATCAAGCTTGCATACGCACAAAACGGGGTAGGAAAACTGCGTAAGCAACTTTCCATGCAAATTTTGGTATTTATAAAAGAAAACTTTGCGGAAAAATTTGCGTAACTTTAAGTTGACTAAGGACCTGGCTTACGCACATGTTGGACATGGAGAGCACAGTGCTGCTGCTGAGGATACAATTATGAAATCCTGCAGCATTATCACTTGTACTGCTTCGTTTTCACACAGAACAAGACCCCCCCCCCCCCCACACACACACACACACACACTCACACACATGCGTGCACTCTCTCACACACACACAGCCTGAAGTGCAGAATACAGAATGCAGAACATCAGTAGGGGGACAGATTGAGACAGAATGTCATGCGTCTGTGACAGTGTGTGTCCTGTCACTGTGACCCGATTGATCATGCGCCCTGGCTACTTGGACAAGGGAGATCTCTGTTTGGGTGACTGGTTAGCGAGTGCGACTTTCACCTGGGAGTCTTGGGATCGGATCCCAATTGGACCATTTTTTTTATATCCGCCACAGATCTCTCTGAAGAATTCACAACATTGACAGCTTCAGCAACGCTGTGCCACTCCGTGGATTTTCTCTTGTTTTGCAAAAGCACTTCCTTTCATTTCTCCACCTCACCCACAACTTCCTGATTTTCCGCTTCTGTGAAATAGGCTTCCTTGATCTGCCTTGATCTACGGTCGCCATGTCATTGGCGGAGCGACGCAACAGCCGACTTATGTATATGCATGAGATCCACAAGGCACTTTGCATTGACTATTTATGGCAGTAAGTGAGGGGAGGATGTGACTAAAAAGCAGCTGAGAAACTTTCTAGATAGTTTCTGATTTATGAAGCGGAGATTGTGTGCAGCTGTGTGTACTCCGTGTTTGATAGATCACAAACCTACTTGGCGTAAGTAAATTTTTTTTGCTGAGCTTAAGTACGGTTTTAGTAAGGATTCTACGCAATGTCTGATAAATGAGACCCCGGGTAACTAATATGAAAATAATGTTAACCTGAACTTTCAAAGAAAGACGTTAAAAAGGATATTAGTGGTGTAGAAGTGTTTAGAATAACCTGTTTTAATGGTAGGCTCATTTGTTTTGCTTCACTTTCCAAATTTCCAGGTTTTTTTTTCAGCTTTCTATACATTTTTTATTTATTTACTACTTTTTAGTTTAATCGGAGCGCTTTAGGTTCCACTTGTTTCATTAGGATCCACCCAGACTGCCCTTGGGCTTTATGCTTAATTGAATTTCTGGATCCTATTTATATTTGTCTGAAACGAAAATGTGATTGTCGATGTCAGATGACGTGATTGATAACAGGTTCTACACTTTTAGAAATAATAAAGACACAAAGTCTTAAAGCAAAGATCTAGATGCAGGTTAGAAAGTGTATGAATGTTCCACAAAGTTGTACTTTATTGAAGTCTAGAGGTTCTACAATACAACTAACCAGACACCAGAATGATTATTACCAAGAGGAACTTGGTTATTTACGAGGAGACACCTGAAAGGAAAAGCTGAGAGACACAGAGTTATGTTATGTTGATATTCTGTCATCCACCTGAAATAATTTTGAGATTCATCAAAAGTAACCAAATTAAGTTCACTATTAGACCCTCAGACTTATTTAAATGTCATTTTTGACAAAAAGTGAACTTTATCAAAACCTTCAGCAGAAAACCATTCGAGGACAAATGGCCTAACTAAATAATATTAATAACAATTCTCCCCTCTAGAAACTTTTCAAAATAATGATTAGCTTAAATAGTTTAACCAAGCTTTCAACACTTAAATGGACACATCAGGTGTTGCTGAATTGGTATCTGTGATACAGGTCAACCACTCAATAATAAAGCAACCCAATGCGTTTATTCAACATAGCTTAAGGACTCTGAGTTAATTAGATTTCAATTGTCTATCAAATTGAAACTTAACATAATAATTAACAATCTGGACTCACCAATAAAGTTCTAACGACTTCTGTTCGCCTCTATATAAACTCATGGCCTAATAACTAAACTAACACTACTAGGTCGCGCGGACATCCGTTTTGTTCTGCTTGTTTATTATTTCCAGCTGATTTATTGGAGCGTTTTTCACGGGTACTTATGTCTAGTATTTCTCTCGTGAGCAGTGTGGGCTGCAAAGTAGGAACTGATGTTGTTGGATGCCTAGAAGCTAAAAAGGCGAACAAAGCAAAGGCCAGAAAATCCCCGTCCTCGATTTTGGCTTCTCCTCCCAGCCTGACTGCGGCTGAGGGGGGGAGCGGGTGCTAGTGTTTCTAGCGTGTAAACGCCCGCTCGGCTGGGTTTAAAGCTCAACTAGCATCAAACACGCGTTTCAAGTATACGGACTCATTTATATTTAGTTGCGTGATCCAGCACCATTTGTTTATAAATACTGACCGTCAGCCCTGCAGCTGGGCTTGTTGTTGTCGCCTCTCCTCCTTTGCTAACCTCCGGAGCGGCCAGGCCGATGACGCTCACCGCCCGCACCGTTCCTCGGAGCCAGTCCCGGGCCCAGACAGCCTGCTCCGCCTCGGATCCATTCGCTGGCCTGCCGTCGTCCAGGAGCAAAATCAGACGCTTCCCGATCAATTCGAGAGAGTCCCCCATGTTTGCTCGCCTTCAGTGAGCCACCATGAACAGTTTAACTTCTCCGCTCGGGATGGGAACTCAAGAGAGCTAATGTTAAGAAAGGCGATCAAAAACCTGCTGCGGCTGCCTTTTGTTCTTTACGTAGATGCACCGAGGGGCTCGTTTCGGCCGCTGCACCTGGAGACACGCAGCGGCGGACCGAGTCACGTCAGCAGTTCATCCAGTGGAAACGTTTTTGTCCTCGGTGGTAACACGACTGACTACCCAGCTCTGTCCGCCATTGAGCCCTGTAACAATCAAACGCACTCCTCTTGGTAGACTGGCAGCACTGCGGACACGGAGCAATAGTGGGGAAACAGTGACACTTAGTGGTGGAGGTGTGCACTACATCTCCTGTGTTATTTTGTCCATGGTCACTTCTAAATGTATTTTAAAAAATATAATTTTATACTTTTAACATCAGTTTATTAACATAGGCTGATGTTTCAAATGGAGGAAATAATTAATAATAATAAAATAATGTTGATAGTTTTTTTGGTAATATGTCAGTTTCATTAACATTTAACACAAATTTGTTTTACAGTAAAGTATGTTTGGAGGTTTCCATTAGAATCGGATTATACTCGTGTTTTATTATAAAGGTTATCTTTGGCAGATTTCGTGTTGCTGCAGTGGTGTCAGTAGTTATCGGCTTTGACCGCTAGGGGGAGCCACCATTTTCAGTCAGTGTTGCAAAAAGGTCAGATTTTGTCAAAGCCTAGAACTAAAAATTACTAGCCTACCTGAAAAATATGTTTATTTATTCTGGTCTGCCAGGCTAAAAAATATCATATTAATGAAGTTTTGGATGAAATGGAAGTTATAAAATAAGCATCCGTGCATATTTGGTTTGTAGTTTTTATTGGAGCAAATACTCAGACTTTGGCTTCACTGGATAAAAATAAATCTTTCTTGTAAATTATATGTGAAAAAAGTGTGACCTAAGTTACCTTTTTGTTAAAAAAAATCAAATTATTTATTCCAGTTAAATGATGAACAAAATCATAACAATAAAATATAAAAAAGATGACACAACACACATTTGTCTGACTTTCTTCAAATAATCTGCACATTGTTCTTGTGCATCTTTGCTTTTTAGTCCATTCTTGTGACTAAGATATTTATAAATCAGGGCTTAGGGTTATTTTGAAAGAGCTTCACAAGCCAAGCAGGAGATCTATGTAAACTAATGCCTGCAAGGCATGCAGAATGTGCAAGGACCTCACTGTGGAGATATCTGTGTATACGTCTCTGCATTCACACAAGAGTGGGAGAAGATCGCCATCAACCTACTGATGAAAGGATCACGCCATTAGTTCTATTGTTTAAACTCACATGTCATTGTTTTCAGAATACTTTTGTAAACGTGTCTCGTTTTTCCTGTTTAAACATTTGTTGATGTGCTGCTCTCACCAAAATAAGAATGAGTATACATTCAAAAAGGAAAGAAAAAGAAACAACTATTTCTACAATTAATTAACATGTCATATGTGATCTATGTATCATTACCATTTACAAGTTATTGAATCACGTTTTTATTTACATTTTACAAACTGTCTGATCTTCTTAGTCAATGGGATTGTCCAGCAATATAAAAACATTTATTAGACGTGAACGTTTTATCTCAAGCCCTGACACCATCCAACAGTTAATCCAACATATTTCTGTTCCCTCTTCTTGCCACTAAAACACACTCTTGTAGGTGTGTAACCGACTAAGACAAAACGATGGCCTGCCGTGTCGGACGGCTGCTGAAGATGCACCAGTGGTGATGTGAGCATTCATTGGCCTCCTGAGCAGGAGGCTACTGGCGTTTCTTCATACAGCTGTGGGGCATGCATTCAGCCTGTTCCTCCAGCTCGGGGCAGGGGATGCCAGCGTTTGCCGGCCGCAGCATGATGTAGCGTGTGCGATGGCGAACTCCTCCTGTGGAGCAGGGTCCCAGACACAGGCCCCAAGACGACCAGAGAGAGACTTCACAGTCTAAAGGTGTCACTGTGTTGATGAGAAGAGCGATGAGGGAATTAGACGCGCTGCGGAGACAAGGCGTGCTTGCACAGTAATCCTCCTAAAGCACAAGATTATTGCTAGATTTACCAGACGTCACAATTTGATTTTAATATCTAAAGTCACGCTGAGTCCTCTGGGAACGCTTTTCCAGATCAACCTCTGCGGAGAAGTCTCTGACTGCAGTTCTGGACTGGGTCACCTGTCTACTTGAGGGATTTCTGTGCTCCTACCTGAGAAGCGCTGGGGGCTGATGGAGTTGGGCAGAATGTGATTGGAGAGGGTGTTGTGACGATCTGGCGATCCATGCTGCCGGGTTATCTTTACGCTGGCGATGGGTGGGAGCTCCTTCAGTCGAGGGTAGAAGAATGAGTTAGCTGGGTGGTTTGGCATCTGAGAGGTGATCTGCAGCAGAGAGCACTTTGTTAGAGAAGCCAGCAGATTCTCAGTAGAATGGAAACACGTGGACAAGAATGGATAGTCTATTGCGTAAGGGGGGGGGGCTCCTCTGACTAAAATCATATGAGGATCTGCCAGCAATTATTTCGTGGAGACAGCTAAGACTGATGTTCTGTTACCTCACTGCTTATTCTGAGAATTAGACGAGTGCTGCAGAATTAAAGCGGCAGCAGAAATCAACAGATGGTTTCCTCATGGAGATTGTACCTGTGTGATGTTTTCTTGGGGGCTGGTGGGGAAGTTTGGAGAGGAGAACGTGAATCCGCTGTCTGTCCCCGCGTCGTAGGGCTTGAGGTCGACGCTCACCTCCTGTTTCCACTGGTTACCCTCACAAAGATTCAAACTATTCACACCGACAAACCAGTCAGGACTGGGGATCATCTTCACCATCAGAGACAGCTGTTAGACAGGGACAGCAAACAGGGATGGAGAACCAGTCAACAGCTAGTTCAAAGCAAACAGAATAAACAGTCAAACGCTGACTGTGGTTATTTCATGGCTCTTACAGATGATCTTTGCTACTTATCAGAAGCTGTTTTCACATGTTTTGTTGATAGTATACTTGCTCATAAACCACCATGGATACTAGTGTGTCAGTCCATACACCGCCATCTGCTGGCCGAGTATGGAACAGAAAAAATGTCATTTAACCGTAACAATAGCATAAAAATAAGTCTGAAGATCAAAATGCGTGTTGGACTAACTAAATCCAAATATTACACACCGTGCCTGGAAAATAAACATTTAGTAAATAAATAATCACGGCTGAGTTTGTCACAATTTATCCATAAGAGGGTTAAATACGAAAAAGCAAAGTGCACACACAAGAAATGTCAGCTGGTCTGCTAAAACTGGACGTGTTCCACAAAGGAGGTCCATACCTGAACACTGTACTTAGAAATACACATTTAGTGCTGTGAAGCAAGTCCAGCCAGTACACCTTAACACAAAACCATTTCTATCTCTCAGGCTAAATTCACCCTTTAGTGGAACCTCCATGTTGGAAAATCGCTGCATCATCCTTTAGTTCTTTCTAAACTGTCCTTGCAGACTAAAGTACTCCTGGTGTGGACAATGATCTGAGAGCAGGATGGATCAAATAGCAGGAATCGCTGCAGCATTAGCCAGGACAATAAATGCAAAGAGCCTGACATAACACACACACACACACACACACACATAGGGACTTGTGGCTTTAAAATGCAGGAGCCTGCATGAGTGCATGTGCGTCCAGTCTGTCTCCTGTTCAGTGTGACAGAAAGTCTACTGAACGATGAGCATTTCCTGATGGATGATCTCATAAAGGAATTGGAGTTGGGGTCCCAGCATAGTGAGGTGGTGGGTGACCAGGAACCAGACAGTTTAAAAATGCTGCTTCACTTGTAGACTTCTATTTGAGGATCTGAGTTCAGCTTCCATTCCAATGGTGTGTGAGGTTTAGAAAGGATGGAGCTGACCTGGGCAGGCAGAGCTTCTGGGACAGGAGCTACAACGAAGAGACAAATCAGAATCCGTTTTGTTCTTTGTCCCTGTTCTGGCCGTCCGTTTCCACCCGCTTCTCTGAGTCTGGATTGTAGGGGTAGCAGCAAAGAGGTCCCAACCCCCCTTTCTTTCTCCAGCAACCTCTACCTGCTCCACTGGTTGGATCCCAAGGGCTTCCCTAGCCAACATGGAGATCCAACCCAGGGGCCTGCTGACAGGACATGCAGGAAACACATCTCCACGGAGGCGTCTAGGAGTCTAATGCCCAAACCATCTCAGCTGGCTCCTTTCTCTGCTCTTTCACCCTGAAACAAGCGTTTCCAACAAGTCATCTGGGGTATTTCTCAGTGGTGCTTTTTAACATGCAGGACCAAGAGAACCTCTGATGCAAACGGTTATTCAGCCATGGACGTAATTTTTTTTTTGGGGGGGGGCATGTTCTCCCCCACTTTTTCCAAAGTCAAGTTTTGACCCCTGCACTTTTTACCATCCAAAAACAATATTACGCTATATTTAATTGACACTGGTTGAGCTCTAGGACCAAGCGGAAAACAACCGTTTATGTTGAAGCCTGTTTCCCATGAGTTTATACTGCAAAGATACCCCCCCCCCCCCCCGGGTCCCCCCCACTTCTGAAGTGAAAATTATGTCAATGTATCCAGCGCTTCAGCAATCCCTCGCACTTTTCTTCTACTGCGTGAAATCTTGGTATAAAGTATGCAACCAAGTTCAGCAGCACCTTTAAGCCCCTGCTCTGTTTCATTCTCTCACATTTTAAACAGCACTGATATTTTTGTCTTTTCCATCTGTTTCGAGTTACACATTTAACAAAGCAGACAGCTTATGAATATGGAAATAGGGGTTGTGTGTGTTTGGCATTCTTGGGGCATTTCATCTGAATGATTTTGTTGGGTTCAAGAGAAGAATATGACATTTATAATAAATGAGAGCGCAACAGCAGAGAGGCACCGCCACATGAGACGATGATGTGAACAGGATTTTATTATTCAGTCACGTCCAACACAAACACACAATATTTTATTTTTTTCTGTTTGGACCGCAGATCTAAAAACAGACAGCCACAGACAGAGCAGAAGACAAGCTAATGAGATGCTGGTTTTGACCAGCACTTGCCAAAAATGCCCTCTGACAATCTTATTTATGATTTCTTATGACGTCAGGTTCAAGTAGTTGTGCAAACAGAGAACTAATGTAGGACACAGACATTTAAACATGATTGTACTTCTTAAAGCTCCGATGAACACACACACCTTTCCGTTTCGCAGTCTTTCCTCTCATTTATCGGCTGTAAATGATAGGTTTAGTTCTATGAATGTCAGTTTTCAACAGTGCCATTCATCAAAATCTTTCACATCTGTTGAAGCCTTGGCCTAAAGCTCAGAACTACAATAAAAACTCAAACCTGTTGGTAGAATTAATACAGTTGCCATATCATCCTCCAGAGCCAACAGTGAAGAAAGTCAAAGCCTAAAATAAAGTCTAATGTGTTAGCTTACACTATTTAGATGGTTGTATATACACACACACACACATATATATATATATATATATATATATATATATATATATATATAGATAGATATAGATAGATAGATAGATATAGATATAGATATAAATATATATATATATATATATATATATATATATATATATATATATATATATATATATATATATATATATATATATATATATATATATATATATATATATATCGGCCTCAAAGCCTCCAGATGGAGTATTAGGATTTGTACCTTCATCACAAACCTGCCACATCCAGTCCTATACATGTCTACTTCCCGCTAGTGCAGGATCTACAGGTGTTGACAGCCAACTTTTGTCTAACACTGTTGTTATATAACTACATATGAAAATAAAACAGATTGTTTTATAGTTGTTAGGCTGAAATTAGGGAAGTTAAGTTTAAAAAATCATCCATCATTTTCCTCCTCTTATCTGGGGTTGAGTCGTGGGGGCAGTAGCCTAATCAGGGAGAACCAGGCTCTCCCCTCCCCAACACTTGAGCCAGCTCCTCCGGGGGAATCCTACTGCCGTGAGCCGGGGTGAGTACTCGCTCTCATCATAACCATCTCTGAGTGTGTTGCAGGAGAGGGAGCAGCAGCTGCACCCGATCAGCTGATTAGCGGGTCGACTATTTAAAGAGATGTTGAACACTACACCACGCCGGATGATTACTACGACTCGGTAGTTTCCAGCTTTCGCTCTAGTTCTCTTGGTTACTCGTAACTTCTCTAGTGTACTTTTGGCTCTAGTGTGATTTTTGCATTTTTTGGACTCACCCACCTCAGGTTCTCTGCTCATCTGGAATTACTCGCTCCACCTCCATAGGACTCTTGGACTCCGCATTCAGTCACGTTCATCATCCAACTCCCAGGCCGACCCGCTCTCACTTTGGACCCTGTGCTCCCTCTCCAGCTCAGAACAACTCCCCTCTGGATCCACCCGGCTCTCAACCTCCCCTCATTTCCCAAACCTAATCATCCCCTGTAAGTCTCCTCTCAGTATCCCTGCCTCGACCATTTCCCATGGACTCACCTCTGGTTTGCTCTCTCTCCAGACCCTGGTTACCGTTTTTCCTGATCCGCTGGAATTCCCAGTATACCCTCAGTTCCCCTTATCAATAAAATCTTTTTTACTTTTCCATCGATCTGTGTATGGTGTTGTGACTCTGCATGTCGTGGGTTAGACTCCTGCCCCAAACCACAACACCTACGGCGTACCCTGGCCAGCCGTGAGACATAGTTTCTCAACCGTGTCTCATCCCTTGTGCTTAAAATACTAATACGTATTGGATAGTACTCCTGGGTCACTTACAGTGAGTCACGCTTCCGTCACTTGTTTGACTGACCTGGTTGAGCGGAGTTGTGTGTTTTGTTATTTCCTTATTCAAGCTCTGACTTTTGTGGTAAATACTTCATAATGTTGTATTTATGCAAAACATAAAGTTAGGGTGGAAAAATGTTAGGTTAGCATTGTAGCTAAATGCAAATAACTAGTTAAGTCTGGTAGCTATCGCTGTCTCTAGTTAGGTATTTAGTTGGAAAGTTGACGATAGCTCAGCAACATTAGAAATTATTAGTGGGGAACTGGTGGATTTGTTTTGTTTTCCGCAGACAGCAGGGACAGCAGTAGCTCAGGAGGTGGAGCATGTAGTAATCGGAAGGTTGCAGGTTCCAACCCGGATCCCACTAGAGAATGCTGCTGGTTAAGTGTCCTTTGGCAAGACACTAAACCCGCCTTGCTGGCTGGAGGTTGTCGGTGGGACAGATGTTTGGCAGGTCTTGCCTCCGTCAGCGAGTCCCGTCGTAGCTGGATGACTGATTGTGTTGTGAAGCACCTTGGGGGGGCTGTAGAACCCTAAGAAGCTGCTGTTCAAATACAGACCATTTACCAGAAAGATCTGGAGGTGTTTCTGGTCTTTCTGCTAAGCTAACTGGCTGCTAGCTTCGTGTTTACACAGAGGAGGAGAAAATGCACATGGGCTAAACATCCTGACTGAATATGATGGAAGAAAGTTTGAAGCGGATGGACCATGTTGTGGAGGTCTAACCGATGGTGAGTGAGACTCCTGCTGCCAGAGCTTGGTTTGTCTGTTTGTTTTTTAACACAAGTATAGATTTTTGTCAAGTTCTACTCGAGCATACCAGTGGGTTTCGAGGCTGCATGATCACCTCCGTGGAGCTGTGCCCGATGCCGTTAGGAATCCCAGCCGTTCGGTGCATGGCTCCGACGGAACGTTTTTTCCTGGCCTCCTTGGCCGCCTTCATCAGCTCCACCGTCAGCCCAAGTTCAGCAAAGCTCTGCACTCCTGGACTGGCTGAAGCGCCTTCCTCCCATAGCCTAAAATGGCGATTATGGCTGACCGCTAAAAAGGAAGAAAGAAAATGAAGAAAGGGGAGACGATGAGAGTGAGACGCTTATTCACTAGAATCCTCGTCAATGTCAGTGAAGCACCACAGAGCCTCAGCCAGATGGTGAGATCATTTCCACCGTGGAGCCTACGTGTATTTCTACAACTGTTTCCTACTTCCTGCACTTAAGCTGATAACTCTGATGGAATTGTCCATCTGCATGTATTATTGCAAGGGTTCGTTCTACATCTATCTCTGCTGAAGCCACAACAGGGGCTGGAGCTGCCAGGAAGTAGGTCAGGATCCTGCTACTGGCAGGAGAAGGAGGACAAAAATTACTTTAACTAGTCTGAAAACCCATGTTGATACTTTTTGTACACTCCAGGCCAGCAGAACCATTTTCTCCCCGTTTATTTTGTAGTTGTGTCTTTCTGGGAAATCTGTCAAATTAAGACCCAGCTTTAGATTTGAACCCCAGGTTCTGGAGCGCTGGTCTGGGTCAGTGGTTTAGGGGGCAGGGTAAGGTTAGCCAGAAACACGCTGACAAACGCTCCGATGGTTCTGCCTTACCTCACTTTCCAGGGCTGCGTAAAGCCTTGCCCCCACAAAACTGTGCATTTGAACTTAAACAGTCCAGACACATGTATGAACACACACTTAGCCACACACACACACAACCTGCCCAGCACACTTCACACACTATCTTGTTTCTCCCCTCGCTGCCGTTACTTGTGCACTTAATTACATTTCCATCCTAACAAATTTCCCACTCGCATCAAAAACTTGAAACTTGATAATGCGTCACAGTCAAGCTCCACCAAGGACATCAAAGCTCACTCTTTCTAAATTGCTTGTGTATTTTTTGGGCCTGACTCCAGTCCTCTGTTGTCCTCGTCCACATGTCCCCATTGGTATTCACATTACACACGGCCATTAGTTCTCAATCAGTCTATACCAAAACCTCCCTTTTGTCCCCTACAGCCCACCATCTTGTTTTTTTCTTCTTCTGTGACAAAGACTTCTGCTCGCCATGCCAATGGAAATAACTACCAGTGTGTCAGAACTGCTGGTGCCTGTCTCGGTTTGGGATAAGTAGGGCATCCTCCTCCTCCTTCAGGGTAAAGGGGCATCAATGGGACAGCTGGAAACCAGACAAGGCCATTACTGCCCCAGCCCTAACATTTATATATACCAGTTTCTCAACATCTGCCATCCGAGGCTCCATAACGTTGGGGAAAAAGAATTAAGAAGTCTGAAAGAGCAGGAGGGGAAGAAGAAACAACTTTTTTTATTTATTCTGGCTCCGAGGTAAGTGGTCTGACCCAGTACACCTCAAGTATCATCACCCACATTCATCAGCCCCCAAAACCACCACTCTGGTCTTCACCGCCAACACTGTGGTAAACCAGCGGAAATGTGGGAAGGAGTGTCGGACTGAGTCGAAGACATAGAGAAATGTTAAAGGTGTGGCTGGACAGCAGTTAGAGAAGCTAAGACAAATGCCATCTGGTAGCTTTTAGATGGAAGGTGTTTTTTTTTTGTCTTTCTGCGTTTGTGTGCTGAATGTGCTAATAATGATGTCCTAAACCTCATCATCGGGTGAAGCAAAGGTTCGGCTGTTGCCTCAGTGAGCTCTTTAGCTTCCCTCACTTCTGGCTTAAACCCAGGTTTTCTCAGGAACCCTTGAAGTCATTCTCACCTATGAGTTTGGACCACTGCGCTGGGGGTCGAAACAGCGGATACTGCTTTGGAAAGGCCTGCGGGCTCCAGTGACCTGTAAAGACGAGGATGTAGGAAGCAGGACTCTTGGCTGTGCAGCCGGTCCCGTTGAGAGGTCGCGAAGGCCCAGCAAAAGTGAGACAAAGTTTCACAAGCACGATGAGCAGCTTCTGCAGCCAGCCACAGGTCAGGTGCTCTGATGACATCATCTGAGAGGAACGGGGAGATGAAAAATATGTTATTCCTCAGGCATGGAAGAGATCTCTGGGCTTCCTGTAGAAACTCTTTAAAAAGCTACCCCTAAAGCGGGTTTTTGTGTAGTAAAACGTGTGAAATCAATAGCTGTCTCAGAAGTACTTGGCACTTGAGCTGGCACATTAAAGGATTCTAGCATGAACGCTCAGGAAACCAAACCCTGGGCAACCCTGGAAAATATTAAAAAGGGGGGAAAATTCCACATTGCTGCCCTCATATCGCATCACAACCTTTTTATCTAAGAACAAAGTGGAGTGAACCCGCTGACCCTCGTGCTTTTGAACACTCCTTTTGGGCTGGACTGAGCGCATGCTGACCCAAAGCCAGCCGCTGGCTCCGGGACAACAGTTGAAATTCATCGGGAGCCTCCCTGAAATAAAACAACACGTATGACATCTGAAAAAGGATGTAAACTCTGTCTGATCTCACTGACTGACCATCTACTGACCAGCAGCTGCTGAGTCAGACTAGCACTCTATTAACAGGCAGGGAGGGTAAGGGGGGAGGGGGCACCTGAACAGAGATTCATATATATTTAAAAAAAAAAAAAAGCCGCCATGTGTTTTCATTGTGGCCGTGCAGCATGTGAGGATGCACGCACAAAACCTTAATCCTAAACTTATCAGGTTTTTAATGCACGGTGCACCATTAGAGAAAAAATTTAACTACATTGCAAAATAATCTTTTTTTTTTTTTACATTTAGTGCTGAAACAAGTTTGTTTTTTGAATGGAAATCAGGTATTTCTTGTTTTATTAGAAGAATCAGAGGTTTGGGCCTTTTTCCTGTGTTTCTCCGCTCTAGCTGCAGCTCCAAGCAGCTGGAGAATGCAGACAGTTAAATTTGGTTGAGTCAACCAGCACATACACACACATTCACCGTCAACACACATCACACCCATGACCTGCCGCATATTGTCCCTGAAGTCTATTTCCAGAGGTCGGATTGAATTACTCTGCCGACATAGCTGCAAAACTCCAACTCTGACACTTTTCTGACCGCAGCCTTGTACGCTGCTGAGCGTTTTATCATTGCCGGCCTCCGTTAAATTCATATTAACCACGGCGCAGCTTAGTTGCCACCAATAAAAATACCTTGAGTGTGGAGACTCACGGTGCTCAGACACCAGCTTTATGTCTCTGCAGGAGGCGTCTGGAGATTCAGATGCTGTCCCAAAGCGTCACTTGAATTAAAATTCATCCCCCAACATGGCCGTTTCTGAAGTTCTTACAAAGATTTGAATGATGACAAGTGGGATTTAGAGCAGCAAAAAGACTTATCTGTAGAAAATCTTTATTCTGAAGAGATCTAGCTTGGACCTAAGTGTGAGAAAGTTTGTGAGGACATCCTTTTTCCTCAAAAAAAAAAAACTCAACCCCCTGACTGACCTTTTGAACTCCTCACCCTGACATGATGGCGTACTGAAGACACATTTCTTGAATTCTCATGGCTCACAGACTTCCTTTTTGTCAGTACAGACACACAAGACTGAAGCACAAACATGCTGTCATCAGTCCACTTGGACAAATCCATGTTCATTTTGCTTTTCGGCACACACAAGCCTATCTGCTTTGAGCATCTTTAATGCACCGTTACAGCAGCCTCATGCAGAGATAATCCAAACACTCGCCCCAGCTCACAGACGTTCAGGTATGCACACACAAGCACAGATTTGTGCACACGAGGCTCGTTTTTAACAAGTACTCAGCAAGGAAGGTAATTTGCTTTTTTAATCTTTCACTGGGTAATTGTGGATTTAATAGTTTGTGAGGAGGAAAAAGACGCATCATCCATCTGCCTTGAATTACACTCTTTCTTCACACATGTTTGGTGGTCTGTTGCATTCATCCATGCACACGCATGCACGCACACACACTCTTAATGCGATGCTCTCTGGAGTTTGGAAATCCGACCAAGATGTTGTAAAGAGAGAAGTTGAGACGGCGTTCAGTGACTGCTGACGCTACACCGTCAACAGAAGAAGCAGAACATAAACAGAGCTGTAACAGAATGAATCATGTGAAAATGGTAGATTTTCATGAGTTTGTGTTTTAAAGAGACTTTATTGTTCGCATTTTTTGCTCGAGATCCACACCGGCATGAGGTCAGTGGTGGAAAAACACACGTACCTCCTTGAAATACTTCACACAAATATTTCAGGGTTTTATTTATTCTTTCGTTCCACCTTAATCCTCTCTGATCTTACCTTCTTATTGCCAGTGGAAATGTGGGTCTTTTTATTTATGGCGTTTGTGTCATACGTGTCAAAACCAAATCTCTTCAGATTTAAACACACACTCATGCAGACCTGTTTATACAGTGGAAATGGCTATAAATACCATAAATGTTGTGCAAGTCAGGGCAAAGGCAAACCTTCCACACTGTCTCTAACTTTTAATGTTGATAACTGACACACATTCGCCTACATTAAACGTAAAGATTTAATGATCTGATTGCCTGTTAATAACTGATGACTGCAGTTTTGATTGCATTCTGGCTTCTGTGAACTTTTGCTGATAAAATCATTATATTTTAATTAAAAGTTAAAAAAAAGAGTTTCTTTAGATCAAAAAGTTGTGTGTGTGTGTGTGTGTGTGTGTGTGTGTGTGTGTGTGTGTGTGTGTGTGTGTGTGTGTGTGTGTGTGTGTGTGTGTGTGTGTGTGTGTGTGTGTGTTTACCTGTGTTGGATCCGTCTGTAGCACAGGGAGGACGCAGCTCTTCTCTGCCGTGGCTGGTGTAGCGTTATCGACCTGTACCCCTCTGTGGGCTCCCTTTATCTCCTTCCAAATTTCTTTCCTCCTCCCTCTCTCTCCCTCCCTCCCTCTCTCCCTCCCTCTCTCTCCCTTTCTCTTATTGTATCTCCTCATGTTACCCTCCTCCTCTTTTCTCCCCCTCCCTCTCCTTGTATGGAAAGGCAGTTAACATCCGCCTCTCCTCTATCTCTAATCGTGTCTTTCAGCAGCCTTCTTTCCAACGAGCCAGTCAACATGGCACTGCCCCCCCCTCCCGCCGCCCCCCCTTTTTTAACAAACCTCACTCAGCTTTGTGTGTTTTATGCCCTTGATTTTCAGCACAAGCCATCCCACTCAGACGGTGTAGAGTTGCTGAAAAATAGCTGTTTAATGCAACCTGCCTGAGTCTGGATGGAAGCTCTGGCTTTTAAGCTAATTTGACTTTGATTAGAAATCACTGAGAATCAAAGGGCTCAGAGTGGTCTTTCCTCTCCCCTCCACTTGAAACGATTTTCTCCTGTGGCAGATCCAGCTGTGATCTCACACAAGGAACCCTCCAGTCGGGCGTGTGTGAGAGGGGATGAGCGGTCACTCGTTCACACAGCTGGTACACACATGGACAACCAGGGAGGTTTCTGTTACCGGCCTCCACTCACCTAAAACTCAGACTAAATAAGACAGTCTGCATGTGTTTCAGGGTCTGCGTGAGACAGAGACTTTGTTTCCTGATAAATCAGCAACCTGTCACAGACGTTACACACAACCAAATCATGGCCACAGAGGCATGTTGGCTGCATCAGGAGGACATCTTCAAAGCTCTAAGGACCTTTAAACTTTTCAGGAGTAAGATGCGCTGTAGAAAAGCTGGATCAGGAACTATTTACATTTTATGTCCACCAGTCAAAGACAAATAAAGTTTCTCTGCATCTGTTCCTCCCTTCATTGTTCAAATTCTGTCATCGTTGTCTTCTGTTTTTCAGCTCGGCTTTTCTAAATAGTCAATAAATGGAATTGAAAGGCCATGAATGCATGTGTAGCCTAGTTCTCCGTTTTAATCAGCTCAAAAACAAAACTTATGTCAAAATAACCTATAAACAAAAAAGGATTATGGCCTGCTGTGAAAAAGTGTTAGCCCTCTTAGATTTTTTTGTTTAATGCTTCAGATCAACAAAAAGGATTCCAGCGTCAGACAAGATAACCTTTCAAAAACGAAATACAGCTTTCAAATGTTTTCATGCACTGAAAAAAGATATCCAAACTAATCTTTCTGGTGTAAAGAAGAGTTCATGGTTTTAAAAATTACAGTGAGTCATCCGGGTCCTAAAGCTGCAAAGCCACCCAGAGCATCACACTGCCACCACCATGTTTAAATGTTGCTGTGCAACAGGACACAGAAGCCTGCATCTGAGATTAACTTGCAGACAATTTTCATGATTCATGATCCCAAGCTGTGTTGTTTGAAAAAGAAACCATTAAAAGTATTTCTATTGTAGAGCAAACATCTGCTTTCTTTTTTTTTTTTTAGAAAATTAAGTTGTGGTATTTTTAATAATTCAATTCAGATTTTTTCTATAGCGCCAATTCACAACAAAAGTCGTCTCAAGGCATCGTGCTATGTAAATATTCCAATTGAACCGACTTATCAGTTCAGTTCACTATTTCAATTAGTTAAATGTTTCCTAAAGAAACCCAGCAGATTGCATCGAGTCACTGACTTGTTGTGTCAGTGTCTTTACAACAATCCTCATACTAAACAAGCATGCAGCGACAGTGGAGAGGAAAACTCCTTTTTAACAGGAAGAAACCTCCAGAGGATCCTGGCTCAGTATAAGCAGCCATCCACCACGACTCACTTTCCTGCAGGTGGGCGTTTCCTGGAGAGTGGCACCAGCTGTTGCCGCTCAGCAGCGATCATGGCTGGATATTTAAGGAGTAGTCGCGACACTTCGTCAGGTAATTAACTCCCTTTGGGTATTTTCTACAATCGCTTTTCGAGATATCTTTGAGTACTGCTCATCGACATACATACGGTAGTGCTATCAGCATCTCTCTTAGGGCAGCAGTAGCTCAACAGGTTGAGCGGGTTGTCCAGTAATCGGAAGGTTGCAGGTTCGATCCCGGCTCCGGACAGAGAATTCTGCTGTTGTGTCCTTGGGCAAGACACTTAACCCACCTTGCCTGCTGGTGGTGGTCGGAGGGACCAGTGGCGCCTGTGTGCTTAGCAGCCTCGCCTCTGTCAGTGCGCCCCAGGGCAGCTGTGGCTACATCGTAGCTCATCACCATCAGTGTGTGAATGAGTGTGTGAATGGATGAATGATACACTAGTGTAAAGCACTTTGGAGTCCCTACTCTGAGAGGCGCTATACAAGTGCAGGTCATTTATCATTTATTTGTGTCTGTTGAGTCTCCCGCTGATCAACCTTTCCTATTCTCCGGTGTTACGTCGACACGTGTTCCCCCCTCGAGGTCTGTTTCTTTTGCACCCAGCTGCAAGTTTGAAGCATCCACTCGCAAAAAATGTCTTACCCTAACCATAACCCTGAAACAAAAAATTGTGCTACACATAATGTTTTCAAAAATTATATTTATGCAAAACATACATTTTTGGTGACAGGGGGACATGGTTAGAGTAAAGGTTAGGGTGAGGGTTATTTCTTGTGATTGGGTCGTTTCCACTTGCAGCTGGGTGCAAAAGAAACAGATCTCGAGGGGGGAACACATATCGACATAACACCGTAAACCAACACCATCGCCTCAACTCCAGCCACAACTCCTCGGATCTCGATTACTACTGCGTGTCACTCTGCTCTCAGTCCAGCACTTCCGCTCACCACCGCTCACCCTCCTCCTCCAGCTACCCATCCTGGTAAACTTGGCTTCTTCTCGAGAAAAAACATCTCTTGTTCCTCCTCTCCTCGTGCACCACAGACCAGACTCCACTCCCTCTTCAGAACTCCCCACTCCCTCACCGGCACGTCAGACCATTCTTTAGTTGTTGTTTTCTTCCTCTTGACCCTTGCTCACCACCTTGTGTTTCCTCACTAGATCCGTTAACGTCCCCATCAGTTCACCTGCTTCACAAGTCATCCAGCAAAACCAAATAAAGATTGTTTTACTTACCTTATTTTTTGTCCAGCTCTGATTCTGCATGTCCTGGGTTAGAAGATTAAACCACAGCATGACACGTATGGAGAACTGTCAGCACTATAAAACCTGGGGCACACCGGAGGCGGACGCGTTGCACGCGCACCGTCATTTTAAATTGAAGCCATTATAGTTAATGAGAGTGGACACACGGGGAGAGCCGCGCCACATCCAAGAAATGCCGCGCCTAGGCACTGAAGACAGGTGCCAGTTCTATCTCAAGCTACGTGGAGTACTTCACAGACATTACGACGCAGAACGGCGTTACAGCACAAACTCAGCCACAGTTTTGATAACTTTAAATTACTATTGATCTTAAAATATTCAAATAAATAGCGTACTTTCCCATTTTTAATGAATTTGAGTGTCTCAAAACACGACGGTAAGTTTGATCATGTATAAACAATAGTCACTTCCCGCTTTCTGTTCTCAAATCCCGCGTGATGTGACTCGCGCAACTTTCCAAGATGTGCTCAGCGGCGCGGCGCGGCGCATCCTGTGACTTCTCAGAATCTCGGGCACGATGCTGCGTAGCGCGTCTGCCTCCGGTGTGCTTCAGGGTTAAGCCTATAGCAGCACTACACACTTTATGTCCCAAAAAAGATTAATGGATGAAAAAGCCAAAAAATTTGACGTTATTTGCCATTCTAATTAGGGAATTTGTTATAAAACAGGTGAAATAACCTTTTTTCTGCCCACCCATTTCCCTCTGTTTATCTGGGGTTGGGTTGTGGGCGCAGCAGCCTGAGCAGAAAGGCTCAGACGTCCATCTCCCCAGCCTAGCTCCTCCAGAGTAATCCTTATTAGAGCCCGGGCCAACTACATACTCCCTCCAGCGAGTCCTGGGTCTTCCTTTAAGCCGGGCAGACACTGTACAACCTTTTCACTTTTTTGAGCCCACTTTCCCCTTGTGCGAGAATCTACAAGATTAGGGGTGAGTAGTATACAAGGGTATACCAAGTGACCAGCTACCGATTAGCAATCATAAGCTCGCAAGAATTTCTGGCGTGTTTGATATTTTGCTTGTCCCTCGTGAGGGTATCGCACTAGTGAAGTGGCACTGCAACCCAAAAAGTACCAAAACCGCTCACGGCACATGCGCAAACATGCGTCAGCAGTCAGCACAGCTCGCCAGCTATCTCCCTATTAACACATGTTGGTCGTTTTTATGTATACTTTTTTTTTTGCATACAATGACAATAATTGTGATAAAACATTGATTTTCTTTCTTTCGTCTTCCTCCTCGTTTCTGTGTGTCCACCCACAGCAATCCCGAAGTACAACAGACATCAATATCAACACAATAAAAGTCTGGCATTTTGTGTAAAAACTGCTGTTTTTAGCATGTTTTTAGGTCCAACGTGTTGCTACCAGATGTATAGAGTGAGCAGTCAGGTCGCTTCTGAGTACTGGGTTGTACAGTGTGAGCACATGACTTGTGATATTTGCTCTGAGAGGAAGTCTTACAGTTTGAGCTGAAGTTGAACGTTAGGAGTGAAAAAGTTGCAGTGTGCTTTAGGTCTCCTCCTGGTAAGAGTGCCTGAAACACTGCACCAACGAGGCATCCAGATACCCGAACCACCTCTGTAAATGTACATAACAAATCATCTTCATGCTCCAGGGTTACTTGTGGAGTACCACAGGGTTCAGTGCTTGGACCAATTCTTTTTACTATATATATGCTTCTAATTGGTAAAATCATTAGACAGCATGGGATAAACTTCCACTGTTATGCTGACGATACTCAGTTATATCTATCCATTAACTCGGATAAACCTAATCGGTTAGTTAGATTACAGGCTTGTCTTGAAGACATAAAAAATTGGATGACTCGAAACTTTCTGCTTTTAAACCAAGATAAGACCGAAGTTCTAATTTTTGGACCCGAAATTCTGAAAAGGAAATTTCTTA